GGGATTCTTTGCCTTCCACAAGGGAATCAAACATGCAAACAAAAACATCTGGCTAGACATAGCATGAAACAGTATCTTAGGTTTCTTTTTGGGCAAGCTTGTGTTGTTACATCTTATAAATTTGTTAAGTTTTATTAACATTGGATAAATAGACCTTCTGTTAGATTATGATATATTTCAAATATAGAGAGAATCATAAAGCATATAATGAACACATTTACCTGCCCCCTGCTTTAATAAATCTCAACATTCTAAAAACCTAGAACATTATAGACATAGCTAAAGCCTTCTGTACCTATCCCCAAACCCATTTCTGGCCCAACCTTTTAAATGGTGATTATTACCATAAATTCAGTGCTCATCAGTCCCAGGCATGACGTCGTATCACTACTTCATGCAACAATATGTGTTATTGTGTTGCACAGTCCCAAACTTTATTTAGATTGGGTCATACTGTACTTAATTCTGCAACTTGCTTTTTCTTCTCAACATTAAGTTTTTGAGATTTATTAATGGTGAAACACTTAGCTTTATGAAGGTCATTCAATTTAACAAAGGAGGAAAACATGAAAAACGAAAAAAACTGCTTTATATAATCTTTTATAAGTCACGAGGGTCATTTACAGGTAACCTTTCTGTCCTATTACTGTTACTTTTTTTCTACCACTGTTATCATTAAAATGAAAACTCAGAGTTAAAATACACTCTAAGAAAAGGTAAACAACATTTGAATAGAAAAATAGCTAATTATGGAAATCTTCCATACCTATAGCAATAAAACGAAAAGGTTTTTGACTGTATTTCCATAATTTTGCTTGTGGTTTATCACAATTTCTTGATACTAACCACATCAAATAGTTAGGTAGACTCTGCCACCACCCGGAACATCATTGCTAACTTCTGGAATAATTATATTCGTCAACCATGAGTAGGTGAAAGATTAAAAGGAGTTGCAGAAACTAGGACTTGAGATGAAAGAACTCAGACTTTTACTATATTGAAGCTCAACACAGGACTACTCAGAACAGATTTATGTGCTAACTATAAAATGTCATTCCAAGTACAGGGGGGCGATCAAAAGCAGTTTGATAGTGTTATTAGTGGAAAGTTCCTGATATAATTAACCAAAAAGCGTATCATTTTAAGACTCTTTAAGTGATGCCACATAGTACCAGCACAGAGGAGAAAGTAAATTGTCTGTTGCTAGAGGGTGGTTTAGCAGTGACATGTCCTAAAGGGCAAACCTCAAATACAACGGGGCAGAAGTGGGCAGAAACAGGCAGAAGACATAAACCTAAGGTCATTGTAGAGCAGCTGAGCTGTCCCTAAGGATGACACCTGTGCGGGGTGAGGACCTGGAAAAGGCAGCTCACTCCACACCCACCAGCAGTCTCACTACTGAATTTCTATCTAGCTCTTCACTCAGGCTAGGTATTTCTTAGACAAGAAAGTGAAAATATAAAGACAATAAAACAAACAAACAAAAAAAAAACCCAGCAACAACAAAAATAAGAAACAAGGTTGCCCAGCTCACAGTTTTCCATTCTGGAGATAACACAGCTTTCTTTTCCCTTTTTGTCGTCAACACAGTGAGAGTACAGGTTTTGGAATCTGACAGCTTTCAGTATGAATTCCAGCTCTATCATTTCCTAGCCAGATGGCCTTGGGCAAGGCAATCAACTTTGCTGAGCTTCTTCATCTCAAAACTGGGCTCCCACTCAGGGTTACTGTGGTAGAGACACAGCAAGCATCAAGCACTGAACCCTGCAAATGTTCACTCCTATATATAGTAGACATCATGATTCCTTTCCCATCTCTTTTCTCCTTTCTTACTCATTAAATTTCTTACTCATTAAAATATTCTTGATTCTATCATTCCATAATCACTTCTGATTTTACATAACAATATTTACGGGACTCAGATTATAAACAAGAATTTCACCTCAAACAATTCAGTCTGGAGAATCATTTAAACAAAATATTAATAGCAAACACTGGCTATTACTCATTCAGCATGTATTTTTTGAACATTAACTGTAAGCGAGGCACTGTGCTAACCCCAGAGAACACAAAGGGCAAAGAGAAAATGCCCCAACCCTCCTCCTAGCTCCTGTTAACTGTGCTCTCATTCTCTCACACAGCTACATACACCACGTAAGATCTGAAGCGACTTTTCCACTTTTACCTACTTCCTACGTATTTATTTCTTTCAAGCACCTGCCTCTACCTTTTCACCAACAGACATCATTATTATCCTCAAAGAACTGTAGCAGTAATAAAAGCAAATTTACTCTGAAATAGGATCTATCAAAATTACCTAACATATACATTCTGCCCCCCCCCTACATTTTGGTATCTGCTAGGTTGGGAAAAAAGAACAAAGGAAAAAGGATACTCATCCTTAATACTGGATTTAGAAGACTCTGCTGCCCCACCTAGTACTACCATCTATCCTATCAAGCATGTAAGGAGACCAGGCATAACCTTGACAGCGCTGTCTTCTACTTTGCTTTTGTCCATCTTATTTCCTACTGAGCCTTTGCCACTATGATGGATCAGGCTTCAAACTGCACAAATTGCCTTTGAAAACCCCTTCAACTATTCACAGAATCATCACCTGCTTCATAATATATAATACATAAGGTGGTATGTCAAAGGGAATAATAAAAAGAATAAAATAATACAATACACTAATAGTAATTATAATCCTTAAACCCCTAATAACTGATTTCTTCTAAAAACCAAGTATTTTAAGCCCACTGGTATAATTATTTTCACAACAGGGAGGAAAGGAACCATTTAATTGTACGCAGAAACAGAAATAAAATCACCATTCATTTTATGGATGAGAAAACATTCTAAGAGGTTAAGAGACTCACCAGAGTCACACAGAAGCAGAGCTAGAACCCTAGTCCTCTATGTTAAATGTTGATTGATTTTTTTTCCTTACTATACAATACTTTTCATCTTACCCTTTGAAATGTTGGCATAGAAGATACTTAACTTCTTAAAAATATACTTTATAATGATGATAGTGAGACAGGCTGAGCTAGCAATATGAAATTCAACTAACCTGCAGGTAGGGTTACATATTTTATGATTAAGGCATCTGCTCAGAGTGTGAAATTTTCTAAAAGTCTGTAAGTTAGGTGATCCAGTAGTGATATACAGGACATCATTCTATTAGGAAAACTAATAATTTCCTTATCTGTAAAATGGGGCCAGTACTCCCTCGCTTGCCATCCTTGCCGAGATTAACTGCAACAGTTGTGTGAGCACTCCGCAGCATGCCAGCATGCACCAGGCTCTGTTAGACTAAATCATTTACATGTTAGCAGGTCTGCCACCTTGCTAGTGTTTTCAAATAGGTTTTTCTATTCATCAAGTGTAAACTTTAAATTAGAGGACCTGGCTTAATTTTGGGTTGTACTTTTGACCTATAAAAAGTTGCCAAGCAGGGCACCTGGGTGGCTCAGTGGGTTAAGCCTCTGCCTTCGGCTCAGGCCATTATCTCAGGGTCCTGGGATGGAGACCCACATAGGGCTCTCTGCTCAGCAGGGAGCCTGCTTCCCCCACCCCCCTCTGCCTAGCTCTCTGCCTTCTTGTGATCTCTCTCTCTGTCAAATAAACAAATAAAACCTTAAAAAAGTTGCCAAGCATACTTCGGAAATCTAGGAAATACAGAATTTAAAATTCCTCCTCAGTGATCTTTTTCTATGCTCTGTTTCAATCTGTTTGGTTTAATAAAAACTAAAGGGATGGGGAAAATGTTAGAACTATATTTTAATACAGAATGAAGAAATCAAGTCACAAAGCCAGAGCAAGGGCACTTAATGAGAGAAGGGCATAAGATTAAGTAAGAATTTCTGGCAAGACATAAAAAAAAAAAAATAAGAACTTGGAAAGAGAATCATCATTACGAAATGTGCTGCTGTTGATCAAGAATGCTTCATGTAATCCTTCTCTTTTTTGTATAGTCTTAAGCTAGAAATGTAAAAAAAAAAAATTAAAAGTAACCTAAGAAATGTGGCTTCCTGGCTGTGTGACCTTGTCAGGTTGCTTTCTTGGTCTGGATCTCAGTGCCCACTTCTGGAAAGAGGGGCTGGTGGAGAAGGAGTTGAAAAGGTAATTCTAGACCTCTCCAGGTTCTTGGATGTAAAGACTGGATGCAACTAGGCCGACCGCTCTCCAGGGCTGGGAAAGAGCTCGGTGGGATACGCAGCGTGCCAGTGGCTTCAGTGGGAATCGCACAACTTTTCCGCTACCAGTCCAAACTTCAGCCTTTAAGGAGTTCAATCATTAACGCATTCCCTGGTCACTGAGAAAAGCCTCGTCTCGGACTAAGTGAACATTTAACGATGTGTTTACGTGGTATTTTGTAATTTTTTCCCTTTGAAAATCATTCTGGGTCAGGGTCACCGGGGTTGGGTGGGGATTGGGGGGGGGCGGTCAAGGAAACTAGGCATTTCTCTCCAAAAGTAATACAGCAGCTCTGACGGCAGAGGCGACTTCCGACCGGGCGGGCGGAGCTCGGGAGAAGCGCGGAGGACAAGCCCCTTCCCGCCGCGGGGCTGGGTACACTGTGCTCGGCCGCCGCCGGCTGCAGCGGGAATGCCCAAGCCCAGGCCTGGCGGCGGGAGCGGGGCCCACGGCGCCCTGCGGGCTGCAGCCGAAACGCAGATCTCCCTGAAGACCAGGATGGGGGCTCGCGGCCGGCAAGCGAAAGTCCCTGCGTCATTTACGCAGGAGGAATTCGCATCCCCTAGAGGGAAAGGTCTTCGGCCACGAGCTCCTTTTTCCGATTCTCCAGGACAGACCGCGGGACAAGAGCGCAACCACAGTCAAACTCGGCTCCTGTGTGGACGAGCGGCGGCGAGACCCGCTGCCTCAACAACTAGAGCGGACTTTTTAAAACCACTTACCCCGTTCTAGAATGGGAAAGCAAAACCCGCGAAGGCTAGCAGATTCCACGAAAAAGGGGACGGACCTGGGCGTTTTCTACCCTTGCCGGCTCCGCCTCGCCCGCGCTCGTCCCCCCGCCCTCAGGGGAGGGCACGACGCGCTCCCGAACTCGGAACGAGGAGGAAGTTTGGACCTTTCCGGCCACCACTCGCCTCAAAATGGCTTCCCCCAGGGAAAGGCGATGGCTGATGTCAAAGTAAAGACTCTAAAGCCTTCCTCGCATGGATCGTTCCGCAGAGTTCAGGAGATGGAAGGCCCAGTGTCTGAGCAAAGCGGACCTCAGCCGGAAGGGCAGTGTGGACGAGGATGTGGTAGAACTTGTGCAGCTCCTGAATGGGCGAGAACAGTACTTCACCACCAGTTCCTGCGCGGGGCGCATCATCCTCCTAGACGGGGTGAGGCCCTTTTGTTTCCCCGCCAGCCCTGCGGACTGCAACACCAGGAGCCCTGTACCCCCACCCCTCCTCCGCCAGTGCACCCCAGTCCAGCCTGTGTTTGTCGTTCTGATGGGTGGGTTTGGGTACTTTATGAAACTTAGAGGTTGAATTAGGCCAGTGCTTCTAAAACTTAAAGGGTCTATTAATCAACGGGTGCTCTTTTATAACACAGATTCTGATTCAGTAATTCTGGGACGGAGCTGATGACACTATGTATTTCTGACAGGCCCCCAGTGATGGCGAAACTGCTGGCCTGAGAATGCCCGGAGTTGCAAGAATTAGAGAATTTGATTCTGAATAGTGGGGGAATTTAAGAACTTCCCAGCACGGCGAGGCTGGGAAGCTTTTCTCTTCTATCGTCCTACCAAATTAACTACTAGATAGAACGTCTCCGGAGTTAAGGCGTATACTGCCTCCTAGTGGCCCGCCCCGTTATTACAGCTCTGGTAATTTTTACATTATGCTAAATAAAATAGCGCGGTGTGGGTTAGTCTGAGATAGTGGTCAAGCCCTCAGGCTTTGGAGTGATACTGCTTGGATTCTAAGCTAATTATGGGACTTACTGGCTTTGCGATTTTAGGAAGGTTATCTAAACTCAACCCCTCTCTGTTCTATGAACTGGGGATAACAGAGTATTGGCTTCTTAGGGATTTTATGTAGTAGAAATGGGATAATTTGAAACATTTAGTATCATGCCTGGCCCATATTAAGTGAGCTATAGAAGTTAGCTGCATGTCAGTATTAATATTCGGATTGAATTCAAAGCATGAAAGACAGCACACTCACAAGCTCATTTTTTAGATCCCTCGTTGACTGATAATTTGCTGGTCTCCCAGGTTAGTGGGGTAGAATATTTTTATATTGCCATCATTGCCTCCTGTGCCGTGGCACTCTAGTTGGGCTTACTTTCTCATCTACTGCCCTGTTTTACCTGGATTTCTGCAGCGTTTTCCTGATAGGTCACTGATCTACCATTCTCTCTACCCCAAACCATGTTATACACTGTTAACAGATCCACCTTCCTAAAGACAATTCTGTACATGTCACTCATCTATGCTGAAATCTTTTATTACACGTTTTTCCAACACGAAATCCAAACCCCTATTCTAGTGTACCTTCCAACCCTTCTGCTGCTCTGATATTTTCTGCTACTTCTCTTCATGTTTATCTCTTTACTAAAACTGAGCTAGTCTTTTTTTTTTTCATCTTATATTTACCTGCCCTTGCCTTTGTTCATATTTATTTTTCCTGAAATGTTTCCCCCCATCTCTGTATATTTGAGATGTGGCTTCCAAAACTCCCCTCTCCCATCTGAACACAAGCATACACACCCATTTGTAAGTAATGACTGCTTTTCTGAACTGCCTTAGGACTTCTTCTGAACCTCTTTTCATTTGATGTATATTATTTATTTTCATTTAGCCTTATTTTTGGGAAGGATTTGCATTAGCTTACAGAAAAGCAATATAAGAAGAAAAATTAAAAGTGGGAAAATCTGGATGAAGGGACTATAGGTAAGATGAAACTAGAGATAGTTTTAGTTCCTAAATATGCCCCTAGATTCTGTAAATTTGCTAGAGGTGAGTCACACATTTGTTTCTAACATTTAGAGCAGCGGCATAAGATCAGATAAATGTCACTGAGGTCATTCAATGAAAGCAAACCAGTTACTTAGGACAGGCACAGCTCTTCCTCTTTATGAAGCTAGACAGCCAAGTCTCCTGTGAACTCACTGTAAAAAACAGTTACTTTGTAGAAGTACAGTGATTTAAACTAAGTATGGTTCCCTGCATCTTCTTTCCAGCTTTTTTGAGGGTAGAATATGTTTATAACCAAAGAATCTAATAGAACTTTACAAGTAAACATTTTTTCAGTTAATAAAAAACAAAACAAAACAAAAACGCTAATGTTAAGGCATTGCTCCTCGAAGCTTTGACCTTGCAGTCCTAGCTCTGCCCTTTGGTTCTATATATATAGTCTAATCCCGATGTTACAAATGTATGCCTTTAGAAACTAGAGACGTATTATAAGGGTGTGAACAGTACACCTGTCACTAAAAAGTAACAGGTCCTGTGTGGGATTGGTACAGTGCTTTTTTACAAAGGGAATTCCAAGTTGTTTTTTTGTTTGCTTTTTTAAATTTTGTGCAAGCCAAGGGACACCTGGGTGGCTCAGAAGGTTGAGTATCTGACTCTTTATTTCAACTTAGGCCAGGATCTCAGAGTCGGGAAGCCTACTTAAGATTCTCTCTCCCTCTCTCCCTCTGCCCCTTCTACCCTACCCCCCACGCATGCTCTCTGTCCTCTTTCTCTCTCAAAAAAAAAAAAAAAATTTTTTTTTTTTGCAAGCCAAATAAAACAACTAGAGTACAACTCAGGCTGCTAGCATATAACCCCTTACAATAATCCCTTTTCTTCTGACAAAATCATGACCATATATCAGAAAATATTAAGTTTTATATCTTAATAAAAAATTTATTTTCTTTCTATACCAAATAATTTGGTTTCATTTTTTTTTTCAGGTTAACTTTACCCAAAACCTAGTGAATTGTTCTCAGTAATACTTAAAATTACCACTTGGGATTATTAATCTAAGAAAGCTTACAATTATGCTATGCATTGTACTTATTATTTGTGTAAATATTATATGACTACATTAAATTATGTTTATTTTTTTATTTTAGGGTATAAATGGTTTTGAGGTTCAAAAGCAAAACTGTTGCTGGCTACTGGTTACACACAAACCTTGTGTAAAAGATGATGTGGTAAGTTTATATATATAAACTTAGAAGTAAATTTTTAATTCAGACTCACATTAAATACATACGAAAAGAATAGCACATTCACAGTGGATTTATGTGCTTAAATATAATGACTGAAGATTAGAAAGCCTAGGAGAATTCATTACGATGACTTTTTTGATTTGGGAGATAAAAGTATAAATATGTATATAAGCAATAAGCATTACTTATTGCTCAACAAAACACATCCCCTTGGACATAGAGAGTTCATGGATATTGGACACAGAGTAGATCAACAATTTGAATTTCACTTCTACCATTTGGTAACTCTGTAACCTGGAATAAATTATATAAGGAGAAGGTAGGTCAGAGAAAAGGATAGTACTATCTATATATTACCAGCAAACAGACATAAATCAGTTATACATTATTTATCTGGGTTGCTTTCTTGTAAAGCTTCCTATCTATCCTAGGTTATTTAGTTTTGGAAATTAAAATGAGTTCATGTGAGTTTGAATTAGTTGGGCACTTTACATTAGCTATTCAGGTACTCAAGTGTTGTCTTAAGGTACTCACTCATTCTTCATCTCCTTATTTGGGTACTGGTTCTTTCTGCATATTGACCCGTATTCTTTTCTGCTGTAGTCAGTCTTTGTGGTAGGAAAAATAGCTGCCAGTAGCCCCAGCAGAAAAGGACTTCTTCTTGCTAATATCCAGGTATTATTCCCAGAGGAGTCTGAGTCTTCCTGCTTGGGTTAGATGTTCTCTTGAGATCAGTTATTTTTGCCAGAATGGAATGCTGTCCTTGATCAGACCTAGGCACTTGGCATCTCTGAGATTATGATAGCAGGAGTCATGAGTCATGATAGGGTCATGATCGACAGTCCCATTGGAATCAAACGGTGTGAAGAAGGGAGGATACTGCCCAAGGACACTAGGTGGACAGAAATAATAACCACTTTGTATAAATTCTAGCTCAACACATATATGCATCTCAAACTTCAATCTAATAACAAAGCATTTAAATAGAACTTTTTTTTTTTAAGATTTTATTTATTTATTTGACAGACAGAGATCACAAGTAGTCAGAGAGGCAGGCAAAGAGAGGAGGAAGCAGGCTCCCTGCTAAGCAGAGAGCCCAATGCAGGGCTCGATCACAGGACCCTGAGATCATGACCTGAGCCAAAGGCAGAGACTTTAACCCACTGAGCCACCCAGGTACCCCAGAACCTTTTTTTTTAAGATGTTTGATTTATTTATTTTTGTGAGAGAGAGAGAGAGAGAGAGAGCAAGGGCACAAAGGGTGGCGAATGGGCAGAGGAAGAAGCAGACTCCCTGCTGAGCAAGGAGCCCGATGTGAGACTGGATCCCAGCACCCCAGGATCATGAGCCAAAGGCAGAGGCTTTACTGACTGAGCCACTCAGACACCCTGAATAAAACTTTCATATCATATTCCTTTATTTTTTTTTAAAGTAGGCTCTGTGCATGTTGGGTACAAGATGGGCTTAAACTCGTGACCTCAGAATCGAGAGTAACATGCTGTATGGACTGGTCTAGCCATATTCCTTAATGAAAATATATACCATATACCATATTCCATATACCATATTCCTTAATGGAAATCTGTTTTGGAATTAAATAGAGCAGTAGTTTACTTTCCAAGGTATGGCTGGAAAGTATGACACAAGGGGTTTATGGGAGAATTAGAAACCAGGTCTTTTAAAAGAATAGCCAGGTTAATCAGTGGTTGGAGAAAGAGGACCAAGAGAGCAGAGTGAAAAGTTATTACAGAAAAAGGATACTGGATGATTCTGAATGTTTCTGGAAAAAACTGAAGTTGCACAATGTGAAAGGTCACCGTAGAGAAGGATCATATATTGGTGTCTGATGCTAACATTTCTCATTTATTTAGATGCCAGCTCTGAGGAAAGCAACTGGTGATGCCATTTTGAAATTTGAACCACTCATTCTCCATGTGCAGTGTCGACAGTTGCAGGATGCACAGATTCTGGTAACATTTTTAGATTATACTTGAATTTATAGGTATGGGAGTAGATTTAATTCTTTTTTTTTTTTTTTTTTAAGATTTTATTCATTTACTTGACAGAGAGAGACACAGCAAGAGAGGGAACACAAGCAGGGAAAGTGGGAGAGGGAGAAGCAGGCTTCCCACGGAGCAGGGAGCCTGATGTGGGGCTCGATCCCAGGACCAGGGGACCGTGACCTGAGCCAAAGTCAAATGCTTAATGACTGAGCCACCCGGGCACCCCAAGGGTAGATTTAATTCTAAGCTTTAAATCTATAAAAAAAAAATGTCAGTTTAATTAACTAGTTTTTAAATTTAATTATAGGTTTGAGGTTATATATATTTCTGTAATTTGTAGAGCTAACCGGTTTATCTAATTAGCCAGATTATCAGAATTTGACAGTTTATTTTTTTTAACAGCATTCAGTGGCAATAGATTCTGGTTTCAGGAACTCTGGCATAACCGTGGGGAAGAGAGGCAAGACTATGTTGGTAAGAAAACTTTTGGCAAAAAGCAGTTCTTTGGGCTTGAAGCGATTCAGATTATTGAAAAATCTCTTTGGACTCCCGGGCTTTAGTCTCTCCCTACCCAAATCTTACCATTCCCTCGCTCAGAAATCTTCAGTACTTTACTCTTTCCTATAGAGCAAAGTCAAGTTCTTAGATTTGCATTTGAGCTCTTATTTTATAGTGTCCTCCTCTACTTCCTTTCAGCCTGATTCTCTGTGCCCTCCTCATCCTAAATAGTCAAAGCTCAGTGTAATCAGTACCATGATGTAGTGGAGAGAATCATAGGCAAGGTGTCTACAGTCCTCTGCTGGCTTACCACAGCTGTATTGCATGAACTTGGGCAAGCCCCTTAATTCCTCAGGGTCTCAATTTTCTTGGCCATATCAGGGGGTCCAGCAAACTACTGCCCTGAGACCAAGATCAGTCCACAGGAGGTCAGATCCCACTTGATAAAATCCTGATCCAGGTTGCCTTTGTGCTATAGTGGCAAAAGTGAGTAGTTATAACAGATGCTGTATGGTCACAAAGTCGGAAATATTTACTATCTATCTTTTTATAGAGAAACGTTGCCAACCATGGACTAGATGATCTTTAAAGCCCTTGCTAAGCCTCCACCCTCTCTGAGTCCTTTCATGGCCAAATCAGCTCCTAGTGATTTTGCCCTGTTCTGACTTCTATAGTATTTATTATTTGTAATGGTATGGATTCTTTGCTTTTGAACTATTTCGGGTTTTCTTCCATTCTAGCTTCCTAGACTTTCCTATTCTCTATTTTTAACAAATTTGCCATTTCCCAATAGAGATGGCTTACAAAAAAAGACACCTAAGAAAAAAAAATACGAAACATGCCTAACTAGAAAGTCAAAGCCCACAGTACTGGTTTGTGTCCCTGTCTCCTTCCTGTACACTCCATCTGGGAGCCCAAGCAAGAACAGAACCATTCATTCACTTTCCATTCCTTTGTCTTCTGTGTTTAGATACTTACAAGTCCTGTCACATCTGCCTCTAATTTCTTATGCCCAACTCCACCCTTCCAAGCCCTCTGTCACTGCCCCTACTTAAGCCATCATGATCCTCCCCCAGTCTTTACAGTGGTCTCCTGACTCGTTCTTCTGCTATCCATCTTCTCCTTTCATCCCCCCTAGCCAATACTGTCAGAATCCCCCTTTTAAAAAAGTCAGGGTCTCCATATATTTCCCCTTGTATTCGAGGCCCTACCCAAACTATTTTCCACTTACCTTATTTATGCTCATCTTCTGCTAGCATACTTATGCTCCAGCCAGACAGAAAACTCAGCTCTTTCCCAAATGTATCGTGCTCTTTCATGTCTCCATGACTATAGATGAGCTGTTTCTCTGGCTGGAATGTCCCCTGCCCCTATTTTTATACCTGGTGAAATGGCACTTATCCTTAAAACCCCAACTCAAATGCTACCTTTCCCATAAAGCTGAGGCCTCAGTCTCAATCAGTTCTTCTCTTCTATGTTTCCTTAGCACTGTGTGTATGTGTCTGTATACACTCATGGACACGTTCGTACATATGTGTGTGTGTCTCTCCTGGCGTAACACCTATGTTGTCTTATCACTCTTTGTTCACTTATTTATTTCCTGTTTTAAAGTGTGAGCTCTTAAAGGCAGAGATTATATTTATTCTGTTTCTTCACCCCTTTCATGAGGCCAAAACACTGTAGATGCTCAGTAAAAGTTCAATGAAAGAGTTTTTATTTCTTGTACTAGTTTTTGTTGCTGTTCTTAAACCATTTCCACCGTTTGGATTTACTCAGAACACATTGGCTGTTTCATCAAGAGGTTACTAAGATTGGCAACCCTAAAGCATGGAGAAGGCAGCCCCTTTGGGAGATAGACCAGGCATGGTTTATTCTCATCTCTCATAACCACACTCTGCTCAAGCAGCACTAAGAGGCTCTTTCACATTCAGTCCATTTTGATTTTTTCCTTGAAGCTTCTGTTGAGATTTCATTTTTTTTCTTTTCTTTAAATAGTTTATTAAAGCTTTCTAAGCTTTAGTGAGAGTGAAACTGTTAAAGTGATTGGGTTTTTGGGTATTTTCTGCTTTCCTAAAAGACAATGTATAGAATGACTTTCTTAAGAAATAACTTTTATGTGATGGGAAAGTCCATTTAATCTCCTTTGATTCAGTTATGTTTAGCTAAAGTATATTAAAACATAAACTTAAAGCCTGTAATGGAACCAAACTATGTTTAAACACAGCCCTAAATGGGACTTTTCTTTAGTTATCTTCAGTGTCTCTAGTGCATAAGTCATCATATCTAAATTGTCTGTTCCTTGCAGGCTATCCGGAGCACGCATGGCTTAGAAGTTCCATTAAGCCATAAGGGAAAACTGATGGTGACTGAGGAATATATCGACTTCCTGTTACAGATAGCAAATCAAAAAATGGAGGAAAACAAGAAGAGAATTGAAAGGTATATTAATTGGATGTTTCTATGGTACTCATATATCTAAATCATCCTTGAAAATACTGATACACACATTTAACTTTTCTATTTGTAATCTTATCACAGATAATAAAAAAATGATCAAAGTAACAGAGGAGAGTAGCCCAGACAGTAAAGGTTACTAAATGGAGTGTAAAGGGGAAGCTCCCTCAGGGTAGTGGGATGTGACTGGTAGGAACAGGCATAAAGGGAGAGAAACATCATCCCTCAGGTAAGAGAGCCCAACAGCAATGGGGACCATGACTGATGAAGTTGAAGGCAGCCAGGGAAGAGGTACACACTGCCCCCTGAATGTGATCTGCTGGCAATTATCTAGAATCTCCTTTTGAGAAAAGCAACCTGGTTAATTTTAGCTTAATAAATCTTGTACATATGTGGCTGGTTCTTACGGATTAGATCTACAACTGCCATAATTGTCCCCGTTGGAAGGATCATGACTATCAATTCACATCTTTATACCTTCTCTTCTTAAATTTTACCTCCTGGTAAATAAAACTCTTACATTACTTTCTTGTCAACTTTTTCATAAAAATAGAGTTTTGACATGAAGAGGTGACTATGATGCTATCTTTCTTATATGAAAGGAATGCCAGTGATCTGGCATCAGCAAGATGTACGCTTCTGAGTTTGTCAAGGAGTGATGGCCAACTTATCGTTTGTAATGTCCTTCCCCCCTCTCCCCACCTCCTTGGCTACCTCACAACCAGTCAGTCACTGCCTAAATTATTCTTAGATCATCTCTACTGTCACTTTCTTTATTTAAGGCCACTGCAATAGCCTTGTTAGCTGGTCTCATAATAGAATGTTTCTGGTGTGTCTCTCTGCCAAGCCATTCTTTACATCACCATCAGAATCCTGTCTGTAAAGTACAAAGGAATCCTATTATTTTACTTGCCTGCTTAAAATTCTTTTAATACCTACAGTTTGTTTATTTTTTTTTTGAAGTAGCTAAAACTACAAGTGCCAACCGTAGCAGTGTGGAATTTGGCTCCAGAGGCAAAACTGAATTTGAATCCGGGTTCCACCACAACTTACTCAACATCCTTGACTTCATTTGTCTTCCATCTAACTTAGGAGAAATACCTGTCTTAAAGAACAGTTTTAGTATAAATAGCATCTATATAATGACTGGCCCTATCCCTGTCATGTCATGGATTCTCAGGATAGGGTCACTCTTTTCCTTCTTCAGTGACACATATAGAAAATAAACCTATGATCACATCATTACAAACCCTCCAGGCTTTCTTAACCAGGATTCCTCATTTGAACCACAGAAGTCACAAACTTATTCAAGTGACTGTTTCTCAGTTCTTGCAACAATGGTGTACATCTTCTATTGTAGATACATTGGAGAGAAATAACTCATTATAGACAATGGATGTCTTGGGGCATTAGAGCTTAATTTTCTAGTAGACCCCTGGTTGAAAAAACCTGAGGGGTTCCCTGGCTACTAGGTGCTTTGAGCAAACATTCTAAATGAAGTGATCATTTCAAGTAAGTACTAAGGAGCACCCAGCCACTTCACCAGACTACCGAGTTTGAACTACATCTAGGTACTTATTGGTACCACTCCATAAGTTTACTATGTTTCTTAGATTGTATTCCGGTGAGGCTCTTTGCTAAAATGTAGGAAGTAACAAATCAGTTTCTCTGTTTCCTTACTTGAATTTCAACAAGATTATAAATATAGCCCAAGAGCAAGTAACTATACACCCTGGTGAAGTTAATTGAGCCACGTTCACCAGCTGTAAAATCAAATTACACTTTAAATCCATCGACTCAAAAGTATGTTTTGAGATTATAGTATGCATGCTGCTATCAAGAGAGCCATGCTCATCATATAAAATCAATGAAAAATTAAAGAAGGGCAGAAAGTGTCTTAAGATACTGATTAGAAGATTACATGTGAATTCAGAAAGGGGGAACAAATTAGAGAGCTCCTCTGGGAACAGCTGTACATTCAACCAAATGCGGAGAAAAAGTTACCCTTCCGATGTGGAAAAGTGAAAAAAAATAAATACTGGAAGTGATAAGTTCTGCAATCAGACTTTGAGTATGAAATTGGTTTGTCATAGGACCAGAGTTTCACAATTCAAATAACTATAGTAGAATTTTTAAAAGTCAAGTCCTAATCAGTAATATGTCAGCAATAAGAAATAGTCTAGAGATGTAAAAATCAAAGTTAAGAGGTAAAACGTTTTTAATGAAAAAAAAAAAAAGGTCTTGTTTGTTTGAAACAATTCCCAAACCCACTTTTTAGTGGGAAGAATAAGAATTTTATATATAATGATTTCTAACTAAAAAATAGGAAGTTTGGAGATCTCTTTACCAATTATAAAAGAAAGGTTCTCTTTGGATCTGTTAATAAGAGATCAGGACTGACTTGGGTCAGATGAAACCACTATTTGACTATGTATGAGTAGAACGAAATTAGCCATGTTCTTCTCTTCACGAACTATATTGTAAGAAAATGGTAAATAAAGAGTAAAAGGGCTGACTACATTGGCATATAGTACTGTTGATAAAGCAAATTGGAGAGAAAAAGTAAAAATCAATTTCCAAAGGTCAGTTGTGCTTTTTTTTTTAACTTTTCTATTTTATGGTAAAATATATATGCCATAAAACTTACCAGTTTTAACCGCACATTTCAGTGGCATTATGTACATTCATACTGTTAAGCAGCCAGCACTGTCCACCTTCAGAACCTTTTCATCATCCTAAACTCAAACTCAGAACCTGTTAAACAACAAATCCCCATTCCCCAGACTCCCAGTCCCTGGTAACCATTCTATTTTCTATTACTTTGAATTTGACTATTCTAGGTCCCTCACGTAAGTGGAATAGTATACTTGTCCTTTTGTGTCTCGCTTATTTCACCTAAGTATACGGTCTTCAGAGTGTATCCATGTTGTAGCGTGTATCACAATTTCATTCCTTTTTAAGGCTAAATAATATTCCACTGTATTTGTAGGCCACACTTTATTTATCCATTCACTCAATCAGTGGACAATTGGGATTTTTCCATCTTTAAGCTTTTGTGAATAACACTGCGAGGAACACATGTATACAAATGTCTGAGCCCTGCTTTCAGTTCTTTTGGATATTTGCCCAGAAGTAGAATAGCTGCATCATCTGGTAGTTCCATGTTTCATTCTTCAAAGGACGGCTGTGCTGTTTTCCATAGGAACTGCACTATTTTATATTCCCACCAGCCATGCACAAGGGTTCCCTTTTCTCAAGGTCCTTGCCAATACTTGTTGTCTCTTGTGGGTTTTTTGATAGATGCCATCCTGACAGGTGTGAGGTGATGTATTTGTGGTTTTGATTTGCATGTCCCTGATGGTTAATGACATGGAGCATTTTTTCATACAGCTATTGGCAAGTCTATGAAATTCTGTTCTATCCCTCTGCTGCTTTCCTTCCTGCTTGTGCTGCCTGTTGTTCCTAGCCCATTCCTTCAGCTACTTCCCCATATAATTGATAGGTCCTCCACATCTCTCCCAAGTCCTGAGCCTGTATAGCCAATAACCGTTGGAACATATCTAACTAGAATACTCCATCAGCCTTCCCTCATTAGCTTTCTTGTCCTAGTCTCAACCCCATAGCCATTTCCTTGGTTCAGATTTTTTTATTATTTACCAATATTGTTACAGTTTATTCCTCAGTACAAAACAGAAATATGAACCATATTGAATTACATTAATTAATTGCATGTATGTCCTTTTCTTCCACTATAGTGTGGTCACATTGAAAATAGGACTGAGTTCTCCCTGTCACCAACCATACTCATACATGCTTTAAATATTTCTTATCCCAAAACCTAAGGTAGTGTCCAGCTCATAGTAGAAAACCAGTACATGTTTATTGAATTAATAATAAACAGTAAAGGAACTTAAAAGTTAATCCATTAAATTAAGTTCCCCAAAGACAATGACAGTTTCTTATTTACCATTCTCTGAGGGTCTGGCATGAGAATAGTGCTTAATAAGTGTTTGCTAAATTTGTTAACTTTTTCCATCCTTGTGCTACTTATGAGGCTTCAAAGCCTTAGATGATTATTCTGGAAGACATGTAAGATGGCCTGGAGATAAGAGTGAGCGGTGTAGGCTCTTGGCACACAGTTCAGGTGAGAAGTAATAGGAGCTTGAATAGTAAGATGAATGGGAGTGGTAGTGCAGAATGTGAACCGAACATGGTGACAGACTAGAAACGGGGGTAGAAAGGAGGAGGAGGCAAGGATAACAGATGTCTTAGACTCCTTGTTGTTGCTGTCTTATTTTTAAAAACAGAACTAAAACAGGTAAATAATAAGTCACACATTTCCCTATTACTTAAGATCAAAGAAGCAAATAATATAAAGTGAAAACTTTATATTTGTATAGTTTATTATTACATTATTATAACTTTATTTTTGTATAGTTTCTCCCTTGGATAGTCTGTTCCTCATTTTTTTCCTCTCCTGTACCTAGCCAGCTTCTGTCCATCCTTGTAATTCAGCCCCGGCATTGGGTTATTTCTCAAGGAGCATTTCATGAACTCACTTGAAGCGAGGTACCCCTGCTGTACTCCCCATTCATCTTGTCTGCTTCATGGCATGCTGAATGTGTCTTTACAGTTCTGCAGCTCCCATTAAACCCTGAGCTGCTCGAGGGCACAGCTGGGTCCTTTACCTCCTTTTCTAGCACCTGACACAGGCTCTGTCACATACCTGTTTTTTAATAAAAATGCTAGAGTTTAATCAAGTTAAAATTTAAATACGTATCTGTGAAAATAGCTTTCTTTGTTATGTGTGAATAATGGAACCCTAAAAGGGTATGAAATTGTGGCTAGATTTCATTAATTTTATATTCCTATTTCAGAAGTCAGAGAATACCAGCTCTTTATTGCAAGTAGTTCTCTAACTGACCTGAAAAAAAGAATTCATTTTCCTAGAGCTGCTCTGAAAAGTTCTGTCATGGAGAGAGCTAAGTACAAGTTGCCCCGTGGCATGATAATCTGACTGCAGAAGTAGAGAAACTGAAGACAATTTGATTTTCTTTGGGGGTGGGGAAGACAGTTGCCTGTGCATACATTTCGTTTTATCTTCTGAGTTCTTTTTCTTGTCTGTAAGAATGGAGAAAATTGCACTTTGAGAATTGGGCTTCAGAGTGCTGTGTAAAGGGGCATCGTATGAGGGGAGAGCATGTAATTGCAAAACAAATTTCTGACTTATTGAGAAAGTTTCCCAAATAACTTTTTAAAAATTCCCTTTAAAAAACAAAAGGAAAACGTATTTGGAGTATTTGTTCTTGGCTTTCAGACAACAGGGTCATTTTCCATTTTACCAGTTGTTTTTGGTACCCCAAGGATGTAGCTTTAAATTCTTAGGTTCTTTAATGGAAGATTAAAGTAAAGCATCTGTTCCTCTTTAATTACTTTTTTTGTGTGATTGACAGGGTATTTTACACAAGCTGTTAATTCTCTATGATCATAAAAGAGCAATTTAATCTTATCTTTAATTTTCTAGGAATAAAGTATAATCCAGAAAAAAGATTCGGTGACCTGAGTCTAAAGTTCAGGGTTGGGTGGAGAATGGGAAAAAATGGAATTGCATATCGTGGATAGCCTCTTATGATCAGATAGGGGTGATTCAGCTATCATGTGAATCATTCTTATCAATGGAACAATGATGTGAAATGATTCACATCATTTGGTGGCATGAAGTTTTGGACTTATGTTTTATTTATTTTTTATTTTTTTTTTAAGATTTTGTTTATTTATTGGACAGAGAGAGAGAGAGAGAGAGATCACAAGTAGGCAGAGCAGCAGGCAGAGGGAGAGGGAGAAGCAGGCTCGCTGCTGAGCGAGGACCCTATGTGGGGCTCAATCCTGGGACTCTGAGGATCATGAACTGAGCTGAAGGCAGACACTTAACCAGCTGAGCCACCCAGGTTTCCCTGGACTTACGTTTTAGATAAAATGAGTCATTCTACTGGGTCATTGTGTTAAACTCTTCTAAATAGGCAGTATGGAAGATTAGAAGAACACCAGTCATTAAAGTCACCTGGGATGATGGTAAGACCTGGAGGGAAAGATTATGCCGGGTGTAGAAATTTTCATGAATGTAAGAGACTGAATAAAATATCAGTAGATGACATGAGGGGCAGATGAAGGAATTTAGGCGGTGAAGTGTTGGTGAGCCAGCTGCATTCTCACCTCGTCCCAACTCTGTTAGGTGAGATACAGAAAGAATAAGCATACCCACTCTAGAAGAATGCAAAGCAGATGGTCTTTATGGGGGAACCAGGTTTCAGTTGGGTAAGGATATAGGGGTACATTAAATTAAAAGGTTGTTACCATGGAACAGGGTCTAAAAAATTATACAATAGTATTTTCCAAAGTCTTTTGCTGTACCTCCTACTATACTGTTTTTCCTGTACTATACCTCCTCTTTGAGATTGATTTATTTACCAAAGAAATATCTATTGGGTGTCTACTATTTGCCAGACATGGTGCTGGATATCAGGTATACATAACTGGTGAGTATGTAAGTTCTTGAAATATGGATAGGATATGGTATAATCATGTTAGGTACATATTAAAATTGGCTGGACTATTTGGAAACAGGTGACTATCTTGGTTTTTTAGGGCAGTTTTAGAGCCTTTACAAGTAGAACTTATAGCCTATTCATTCAATTAAATAAGAAAATTGATCCAAATAGCAATCTATTCCATAGTTGTCAAAAATTCCCTGTCATACTTTGCATTATAATAGAACATAAAAGCACGAGATCCCCACAGTAAACAAGGGAGTTCTCAGCTTCCAGATTACTCTGCTTGGGGACCTAGGGTAACACATCCATATTCACCTTTTTGTTCAGTGGTTATTTATTCACTTATTTTTACCGAATGTCTTAGCATTGTACTACATGCTAAGAATGAAACAGGAAACAAGATAGATGGGGTCCTCGGTCTCATAGAGTTTATATTCTATAAAAATGGTCATATCGAAAACTTACTTTGTGCCAGGCACTGTGCCAAGTACTTACATAGGTCACCTGTAACCTTCTGACAACCCAGCTCGGTACAGGATAATGTCTGCTTTTCTAAATGAGGAAATCGAGACTCAGTAAGGTTGGAATTAGCCTCCCTTTAACTTTCCCAGTGGCAAGCATGTGAAGCACGTGCAGTATACCATGCCGCCTCACTGCCTTCCCACATGTGCAGAAAGCCGCTGTGTCAGGTGGAGGGTTGGGTTAGGTATTAACATGGGAGGAGAAAAGACGTGAAGACCAATTGGGGGGGAACTAATGGTACACTGTAGCACAAATTTAAAACCAAGGTAGAAATATGAGGAAAGGAAAAGAGTAATTCACATTTAAAAAAATCAAAATAACTAATAAACATGAAAAACAATTTCACTCGCAAACAAAAATGATAATTATTATTTTATAAGATACCATTGTCTCTTATCAATGTTATTTTTTATGGTAATATTCAACATATGAGTGAAGTGATCTTTCAAGTACTGCTGTTAGAAGCATATGTTTTTGAACATCTTTTCTGGAAAACAGGTGGTATTTATCAAGAGCTTTACAATATTCTCCCTTTAACCAGGCAGTTATATTTCTAGCGGTCTGTCCTAAATAAGTAGCTAGAAACTCAGATCATACTATTTTTAAAAATGTTTGTCACACTGTTGTTTGTATTAGGGCAAGTTTGAAAACAAATTAAGGCTAACCTGGATGATATAATGTTATACTACTATTAAAAAGTGTTATTTTGTTGTTTACTTAGTAATATAGAAAATGTTTTCAATAAATACTAAATTTGATAAAACAATGTAAAACTATAATAATTCTGTAAAAAGCAGTAGGTTTGTGGGTACATATATAAATACATTAATTCAGAATACATTAATAAACTGGAAAGAATAAAAATACTGAGAGGTTATTTCTAGGTAATTCTGTGGAGGTAGTATATTTTTAACCTCATATATTTGCCAAATTCTCTAAAGTGAAATTTTATTACATTTATCATTTTTTATAAAGAAAAATAATTACTCTTCTGTTCTTACCTTTTTTGTTTGGCTCGTACATGTGGAATAGAAGTTGGGGTAGAAAACAGATTGTTAAGAGGTGTTTCCAACCCAGTTTTCAGGTGTGTTCTTGAAGAACTGAAAACACACTTCCTAATTAAATGATCATGTAAAAGTAAAAAGCATATTATTTCTCTGATTCATTTATATTTTAATGTTAATATGAGACATTATCAAATTTATAGAATTTAAAAATTATAGATGTATTTTAGTCATTCTGTTTGAGAACACAAATATAACAGTAATACTTATTTCTTTACAGGTTTTATAATTGCCTACAACATGCTTTGGAAAAAGAAACTATTACTAATTCATATCCCAAAGAGAAAATCAAAGACAAAAATAATTCATCATATACTCGTAAGAAGAAAAGAAACCCAGAAGCAGCACATGGCAAATATATTACTGAAGAAAATGATGAAGATTGTGAAAATGATGATGACCCAGGAATCAGTGTTACTATCTTCCCCGAAGATTACTAAGATTTGGTCTTGGTAGAATAATATTTCTAATAGATATTACAAAGCTGCTCTTTACAAGAGTATTTTAGTTTCTTGAGTGTATGAGCCATTCAGAGAAGCAAGACTTATTCTTTCTCTATATTTTAGAGAAATCCTTAGTTTTTTAAAATAGCTGTGTATAATATTTGCTCATTAAATACCATCCGTTTTAGTCACATAGAGATTCATTGCAAAAATGAAATTGACTTTTTAATGCCTCTCTTTTTTAAGTTTCAATTTCTACTTCTGCAAAACAGAATTATAATACTCTTTCAAGAGAACCTTAACATTGGAAATGTTTGAGTAAAAGTCATCACAATATTTGACTTCCTTTTTCACTTTGAAATCTCCAGCCTTTAAAGGGGGATGAGCTTGCTTCTTGTCACTGTGGAGTCCAGTGACAAATCCTTCCCTTTATTTTGACTTTGTGGAGAAAACAACTGCTGTTGGACAGGACAAAATACCTGAGCCCTCTTCACATTATTTCTCACAGACCAGAGCTTGCCAGGGGCATGGTCTCTGCCACACAGGTGGGCCTGGTTTCTCACTAAACCTGGTCAGAAGTGATAACTTAAGACCTAGGAATCTTTATAGAATCCTTGTATACTATTTTGGAAAGTTTCAAGGAATCAAAAGACTTGGGTCTAAGTTGTGACTGCTGCATGGAAATTGGAGGGTCCTTGAACAAATCATTGAGTTCCCAAGGCTTTCGGTTCCTCTTCTGTATAATAGTTCTGACAGCTGCTGTATTTACATGACAGGAGTGCTGACAGCATCACGTTAAATAAAAATGAGAAAGTTATTAATAGACTTTTGCATATGTGTTACTATTTATTCTCATTTTCATTAGAAAATGATGCTTTCATACTGTATTTTCAGAAAGTATCAAATCATAAAAGTTATACTTAAAGAGAAATTATTAGTCCTAGAACTAATACATGCTAGGATAAAATTATCAGAATGTCAAGAAAAAAATTATACAACATAATAAACACTGAGTTGTGATTTTGGCATTTCCTAATATTTTATAGTTCGTCTAAGTCTTTATGTAAATTCTACTCAGATTTGCCCCGCAGACGCTTGCTTTCTAACGTATCATTTCGCACTCTCATTTTTAAAATAGATGGACTTCAAAAACATCTGTTATCTTCTACATTCCTCAGGGACGATGTCCGTGATGTTGGGCTGTTCCTTCCCTCCCTTTTTCTATCCTATCTCTGAACTGCTCTCTTTTAGGTCTTTATAATAAGATTGTAATGTTTTTACTTTTCTAATTTCTTTTAACATGCCCACGGAAGTCTTCCAGCACAGTCTTCTCCTTCATTGTTCCAGAAAGAAGCTCCTTTGAATCCTTAGTGCCCTTGCCACTTGCAGCATTTGGTGCTGTTAATCACCTTGTGCCCACAGGCATCCCGAATGCTTTCTTCTGCCCTGATTATGGTGAATTCTCAAATCTTTTTCTCTGAAACCTTTTAACCATTTTCAACATTGATTACACCTTAGAATCATCTTCCTAACTTTGGAAAAATACAGAAATGATCTGAGACTTTCCAGAGAGGGACAGTAAGCATGTGTTTTGTTTTGTTTTTTTTTAAAGCTATCAAATTGTTCTCTAATTGTAAACCAAATGTCAATAATGGATAGGTATTCCCATATTTCTGTCTTTGGCTTTCTTGCATTTCTCTCTTCATCCCAGCCATCTCACCCATTCCAGCAGCTCTGACCTCCGAGGCAGTTAACTCCCAACTCCTGCCCCAATCTGCCTGTCAGCTAAGCTCCAACTAACTTCTGGGCTTCTCCAGTACAGCTCTTCCTTTCTAAGGTCTTTTGTTACGCGGTTTCCTGGTTCCTTGGCTAAAGAGAACAGGCTTGTATTAGGACCCTTTTTGGTGGGGTGGGCAGGGGCAGTCTGAGCCCACTGGCATTTCTGGGTCCTGGCTTTTCTAGTTCCCAGTCCGGGATATGTGAGGGAAGAAGGAACACCAGAGAACTTACCACTGTGTTCTTCAGATCCCAAGATGCCTAGCCAGTCCACCTTCCCCTCTTCACCTTTCAGTCTTCTTATGTTTGCTTTATGTATAATGTCCAGAGTTTTTAGTTCTACTTAGAGGAAGGAATGGGAAAACCCTATCTACTCCATCCTCCAGAATCTGAAGTCTAACATACGTTTTAAATTATCGGTAACATCACATTGTCGGGATATTGTTGCTACCTCTGGAACCTATCCCAGTAGCAACGTTCCCTTTATTTAGTGCTGTGCCTCCTCTCCCAGATCCTAGGCTTTGCTGCTCCCGCTTCAGACTTCTGGAGCCTCTGCACTCAAAAAAAGAAAAATTCTGGAAGTCTGTTTCCTATCCACCTCCCACCCTGCTGTCACATACACACCCACTGTCTCCTATCCAATAATGACAAGTGCAGAGCTTCAAAAGGCAACTCTGTTGCCCAGATATGGGATAAACTTGGACATGGAATTGCCATTTAAGCTCCCAATAGTGTCAGGCTGAGGCTGGGACTTCACCTGACTCCTATCATGTTTTTCTTATTTCCTTACCCGTTTCTCCTGGGAGCGCCTGCTTAATAAATCCCTTGCACTCAAATGGTGTCTTCTGCAAGAACCTAACATAAAACAGGTATTGAGATTACTTTAGATCTATTTTTTTAAAGTGGTGACATATATTTATTATAGAGAGTTGATGTTTTACTATGTTAGACATTATATCATTGGTAGTGATTGAAACTTATGATGTAAACATGATACAAATAAACCTATGTTAAATTAAGTACATAGTTTTAAAACTTACTTTGGGTGAGTATATGAGCAGCAATTTTTAAAGATCACTTCTTTTTTTAAAATATTTTATTTATTTAAAAGAGAGAGAGTGAGCAGGAGGAGGGGCAGAGGCAGAGGGAGAGGGAAAGGATCTTAAGACTCTGGGTTGAGCCCGACGCAGGACAGGGCTGGAGCCAAAACCAAGGGTCAGACGCTTAACCAAATGAGCCACCCAGGCGCCCCAAGGTTCACTTCTAGCCGACATACTCTTGTAAGAGCCTAGAGACAGGAATAAATGATTCTAGATGAGGTAGTACTAGAAATCCTTTCAGGAGGATGCCATTTCGTTTAGGTCTTTAAAGTCAAGAAACAAGTTCACTTGACTGAAAAAAATTCAAGAAAACTCTTACAGACAGAAAGAATGTGTAATGTAATTGAGGCACCAAAGAGCATGGTACATTCAGTGAGGGTGAAGATTCCAGAAAAGCTGAAATGCAACATATGGTATGAAATGAGTCCGATTGGTTGAAGCCTAGTTGTGGAAGGCCTTGGGGTCCACCATGGACACAGACCAGTGTTGCCTAAACATGACTATGCATCAGAAATGCCCAGGCTTGCAGGGGCTTGGAAGGGTTGCTTTTTAGAACGCTGACTCCCAGACTTTACTTGAGTCAAGCCAGAATCTTCAATCTGGAGTCCAGGAATCTGTTTCTTTAAACCCATGTAAAGTGATCATGATAAATCAACACTTAGAATCCAGTGGTTAACAAATTTAATCCTGAAAGCATGAGAGAAAAATTAATGATTTTTTTTTAATGGAAAAAAGTAACATGATCAGATGTTGCAATGTACCCATGTGACAGATTCTGGGTATACACATTATAGGAGGGTAAGCAGGAGGTTCGAATATATTAATTAAGTCACTATCCTGATCCTTAGGTCTAAAGCCAGGAGGAATGACAATATGTATAGCTGTGCCCTTAGAACTCTGTTCACCTCCAGGAGGGGATATTCCCACAGATGACAGTAGGAATGGAACCCCTTAAAGGTGTGCAGTGCGCATTCTTATCTACTAACATACACGGCAGTCCTGCCAAAGGGGAATTTGGGCAGGAAAGAAGTCTTTTAGTCTCAGCATGTCTGGACCGCTTCTTCTAATTTAATGAATAAAATGTGGAAATGCCTGCCAGCAGGTAGATGAAAAGAGAAGAGAAATAGTTACAAAATAGAGCCCTAAAATAAGAACTATAAGAAAAGGGGGAGCAGGGAGGGAATGGGGAGTGAGAGCCTCTGGTGGAATGACTGTGCATCTTGTTGTCAAAAAATATCTCTAAAGAACTCATAACCCATTGTTTTTCATAATCCTTCACTCATTTAAACTGAGCCCATAGGGACTCATGTACCCCCAAATTTTATTAACTGAGTATATGCCTAGAATCAGGAAGAGAGGGGCTGCCTCCTAATCCCTTCATCTAAGGTAACAGAACTATCCTGGACCTCTTAGAGCAGTAGAGGAGCGAGTCCAGCTGTTGGTCATAAGCCCAAAAGGACATCGAACCCCACTCACTCCTTAGTATGGTATATTATCCTTTATTCAAGTCACATGCCTGATCAAGAATATTAATAACTGCAGCAGGGCAGCTAGTGATAATTTAATATGCAAGATAATCTATTGAGAATTACCTTGCAGTTTGTCCTCATTGTTACTCATCCAACCAAAACCAAAGGAGTCCTTTCTCTTCATGGGGTCAGACATTTATTCCTAAGGCTTATCGTCTACAAGTTAACTTACTTTTTGTTCTAATTTAAACAACAACAACAAAAAAACAACAACAAAAAAAGATTAAGTTTACTGAGAAATAGGAAGGGAAATTTAAAAACATGCTTTTGTTCTTAATATTCTAAGCCAGCGGTCATACACTAGTGGTTGCAGGTAGGGCCAAACAGATGTGTTTTGGCCTACACAGAATATATTTTTTCCAAACTGAACCAATATTTTAAAATATGATGAGGGTTTTTTTTAGGTATGTCTCTAGTTTTTCTTTAAAAATTGGAAGATCTGACTCTCTTGGGCCTGGGCCTGGACAACACTTAGCAGAGGCAAGGGGTGGCGGCCACAAGGCTTTCTGCTCCCCGCAGTTGCAGCGCCCCTACTGGCTCCCTGACACACCGGCTGCAATCCTTCCCTCTTCCGCGCTTGTCCCTGAGGCCACCAGCATTGGTAATTCCTGGTTAGAACTTCAGGGAGAATTAACCTACATAATGATGTAAGTTATGATATTACACAATAAACAAGAGATCAGAGCAATACAGGTTACATAATTTGCAGAGGACAGTGCAAAAATGAAGATGGGGAGAGGACACCTTGCTGAGAAATATTCAATGACAAAATGGCAACAACAGAGCATTAGGTCAAGTGCAGGGTATTTCCAAGCATGGAGCGCCTTGCAGTTGCACAGGTTGGACACCCATGAGTCTGACCCTGGACTGGAGGCTTGGTGTTTCTGGAGTTGAAGAGGGGAATGAGTGTCAGGGTGTTTTGCCGGCCTCTCCCCATTAGGAAAGAGGCAGAGTGCTACAGATTGTGGGACAGGCCTGGCCGAGGTGCTGGCTTTCACACAACACCCCTGATGGGGTGGGACTGTGGGAGCCATTTGGGAGTGAACCAGGACTGAATACTCATCAATGACGTTTTGAAAGGCAAGGCAAAGTGCTCAGTGGCTAAACTTAGACCAACTGAATTGGAGCCTTTTCCAGAGCCACCTGATTTCAAAGGCAAAGTTGGCAAGGAGGACCATGTTCTGAAAACAAAGGCTTTCCCTGTTTCGACAGGAGCTGTGGAAACTCATGTGTGAGCTCTTGAAACTCATGTGTGAGCTCTTGAAGAACCTTGAGAACTGGCTACAGTCATCCTTCTGTGTGTGGTCCCTGACCCACTTGAATCTGGTTGGGGGTGGGAGTAAAGCTAACAATGCCCTATAGGGTATGTAATAAGGGATATCTGTTTGGTTGGGATTTTTGGCCTTTAAACATGGGCTCT